TGACTAGATACATTCTACCCTACGGACAGAGTGGGACCACAGCTGTGGGGCCCACATCAATGTTCTCTACAAATAGAATAGCAAAATACAATGTTTAGGTGCCAAGGGATCACCCCACCACATACAAAAGAAAACAGCAGAACTTGACATCAGAATTAAACATTCAAAGTACACCAAAAATCAGATGTGAAATTCTTTTAAGGCATTCAATTTCTGGAAGAACTAACACTCAGCCAATAATCCTTGAGCTGATCACAGCCCCCAATTCTTCATTGCTTCTCATATCATCAAAAACTCTCATATTTCTTTCCTTCTGTACCTCCCAGCACACGGCAAAGGAAATGCAACTCCAGATTATTTTTGCTTTGGAGTTCCCATGCACTCTCAGCCAGCAACCAAAAATATCATTATAATCATTGGGGACCCACCCAGAAATGTTTAAAATCTTGAAAAAGTAGGCCCAAATACTTCTTATATAAATGCACTATAACAGCAAATGAAGGATGTTCTCATTCGCCTTACATAGAGCACATCTACTTGGAAACTGATGACCCCTTCTATTCAAATTGTCTTGAGTAAGGACACTCTTAGAGGAACAGGTTTCCCCCAAACCCACTTCATTGAATTAGGTTCCACCTGATTTCTGAGTGAAGTGCATTATAAAGTGACTTGACAGAAAATCTTTCATTCTTGCATTCCTTCCACCATCTTGCATCTGGAAGAATAGGATTCACCTCCACCTCTTGCAGCTTTGACAGCAACCCCACACACTACTCTACCTCCCAATCCAATAGAAGTCTTCTAAACTTAGGACACCACACCACTGATCCATTACAAATTTCACAACACTGAGAAATTGTCTCCTCCTTACTTAAGTTATAGAGCCTTGGACACAGCTCACAAAGCTTTCCAACACCAAGCCAATTATCTTCCCAAAATCTCACACTTGACCCTGCTCCACACTTTCCAAGAAAGAAACAGCTGAATCAATGAATTGACATAATCCCCTTCCAAACACTTACCCAATAAGAATACCTTACCTTCCTCGCATCCTACCCAAAATTCCCACCCTTCTCCCTACCAAACCTATAAACCCATTCCCCCAACAAAGCCTTGTTAAAAATTCCGACCCTTCTCACTCCCAATCCCCCATCTTTCTTGGCCCAACACACCAAATCCCATCTCACCAAGATGGTTATTTTTCTCTACCTTTATATTCCATAGAAAGTCCCTTTGAAGCCTTTCAATTTCTTCCAACACCAAAGATGGAGCCTTTAGGAGAGACAAATAGAAAATTGGAAAATTAGAAAGGACACTCTTTATAAGGGAGATTTTCTCTCCAAAATACAAATATTTATCTTTCTAACCTGCCAATCTTTGTTCAATTCGATCTAAGAGAAGTTGCTAAGTATAGGGAGCAGGTGCCCTAGCCCCAATGGGTAGCCCAAGATATGAGAAAGGGAAATCCCCAATAAGGCAACCCAAAGCACCAGCACACTGTTACTAAGATTGATTTTTAAACCCAAAAGCAATTGAAAACTTTTAAGAATACCTCTCAAATTATAAGCTTGGTCCACAGATGCATCCATGAAAATCAAGTTTTCATCAGCACAATGGAAATGAAGGATAATCACCCTCTCATTTCCAAGCTTGAAACCAGCCAGCAGCCCCTCATTCACCCTTTTATCCACTAGTTTACATAACACCTCCACCGCTACGACAAAAAACATAGGGGAGAGGGGATCCCCTTTTCTCAATCCCCTCAATGCGTATAAGAATTTTGTTGACACCCCATTCACCAAAACTGAAAAGAACACCGATGAAATGCACACAAACATCCAGCTCCTCCATTTCTCCCCAAAGCCCATCCTCCTTAAAACTTGCTCAACAAAGAGAATTTATATGAATAAATATCCTCTTCATTTGTTGTTTGTGAATAGAAGATTTATCTATATATTTCTCTTGGGGTCATTAGAAAATACTCCAAATTAGGTAATGCTCCATAGGGTTGTGAAATTTTCCTCAAAATTAATATTTGGTCAATGCTGAATGGTGAGAAGTGTGGTTAATTTGTAGCTGTCAATTAACATTAAGATAAAAAGGAAAGTTTTCCCAAATATTTTTTTGGAGCCATGCACTCTTAGGACAAGTGGTTGCAATCTTCTTCAGTTCCTCTTTACAACCTCAAAAGACATACTTGTTGGCCAACTGGAAGTTTCACCTCTTGAGCTTGTGTACTTTAAGGACAATTCCAAGCACCAAAATCCACAACCTCTTGTGCTCAATTATGTGATACAGCTTACCTTCTTACGCACTTGTAAGATAACCTGGCCATAAACAATCCATTTTGTTCCTCTTTAGAGGGGTCTATCAAATTATCTTCCAAATTTTCATTAGATATCTTCCAGTATGTACAATCACATATTTGAGGAAAGCTTATTTGATACCTAATCATTTATTTTATGTTAAGGGGTATATTTTCCATAAAATCTTAGATATTTATATTAGTTAGCACATATCTTCCATTCATCTTAAAACAGATACTTTTGTTATTGAAATAAAAAAAAAAGAAAAAGCAAAATAAAGAGAAAGGATACCCAGAATCTGTTAAAACAGGAACTTCATTATAAATGAATAAAGAAGGGGTAACACAATGACATCTAGAAATGGAACTTAAACACTACATTTCTTTGCATAGTTTCCTCTCAAAAATCAATAAATTTATTGAGGAAAATCTCAACAGCATTAGTATCATAATAAGCACTCATAGAAAGACACATTCTGTCCTCATTTTATAATGTTAGAATAAATGAATTCTGAAACTCCTTGGTCAAAGTAATAACCTCTCCAATCACTGCAACAAGAAAGCCCTTAGGAATATCAAGAGTTATGTGGTTTAACACCAAGTTCTTCCCCTCCAAATTGCTGTTTGACCAAGCACAGCATGCTTCTCGAATGATAATAGCCATATGCTGAGAGACACAACCATCCTGGTCCTTGGAGAGAGATGCTAATGAAATATTAGCAGTCTCTACAAATTCAGAACTATGTTCAGAACAGGCAAGGAATCTGCTCAGACGTCTGGTAGATATAATGGCCTGAATATAATAGAGAGAAATAAGTTTTTCAACCAAAATAATTGTCATATAATGGGGAGACCATATTTTGAAACTACAGCACATGGACAACTTACATCAATCAAACCATTAATCACCCATGGAAACGAATTTAAGGGAGAGATCAAAGTATTGAATAATGCAAGACATGTGAAAACCTGCAAATAAGACATAGGGAAACCAACTTTTGTTACAATGGAAAATAATTCCAGCAGCATTTTTCATGAGAGATATCATATGTACTAAAGAAACATCAGAGAGAAATACCGTTGCAGCATTTAATGGATGTCCCATCAATGTGAAGAGCCCAAATGTGAATAAAGAGAAAAGTGTTGGTGTTGTTGCCCAGAAGAATACACACCAAGCATCCAAATACTTCCGAGTCTGTCAAAAAATAACTCATAAACAATTAGTGATCTTAGACCAAGGATCTCATAGAAATTGAGCTAATATGAAGAAATATAGGCACTGGAAGATGGTTTCATACAGATAAGTACTTCACTTCTAGAGATCTTATTTCCATCAATCGATTACTAAATAGAACCTCCCAAGCATACATCTTCAAGGTACGGATATATGTCAAAAGCTCTCCTGCCATTCTGATCCTGTAAACGACACATGTTAGAAGATTAATAATTTTTATAGTGGTATATTTTTTGGAATTTGCAATTTGATTTTCTCTATTGTATTCCAATTTTATGATCTTGCAAAATGAAGCCACCCATTATGGTAGATCATAAGAGAACAAGAATTTAGAATTTGGCATTCTTGCCTGCTCATAAATTGCAAGACCTAGATTATCTGTGTGAAGCAGACCAAGAAGTCAAATAGTTAAGTACTTTTGTTCTTTGTTTTAATGTTTTTTATATTCAATTTTTTTTGTTCTTGTATTTCAGTGTCCCAGTCATGGTTCAGAGTATCAATACCCACAATATGCAAAAAATGAATATGAGTTTTCAAACTTTGATACTGCTTTTTTATTTCTGTTGTATATGTGCCTTGAATTCCTAATTGCAACCCGTTCCACGCTTTGAACTGTATTTGTGGAGAAGAGCCCAAAGGAAAATTTTCATTTGAGGCCTGTGGTGGAGGTGGAGGTACAGACCGGACCCACTTTCACATATTTGGGTCCCATTTATATTGTATCTTGTTCCCTAAGGTTCGACATAGAGAGTGAGAGAACAACAATTCAAGAGAATGGGTTTTGGAAATAAAGGGCACTAGGATTTGGTATAGGTCTAATATGGGCCTTGCCATGTTGGCATGGCACGAAAGTGTAGTGATGGGTGCCCAGCACGAGCTCAGGCCCACAGTCCATGGGCCAATGTCGGGTCGGCCTGACCTGTGGGCCGGCATGACTTTCAGGCCCACGGCCCATGCACCCACAATCTGTGTTCTAGTGATTTTTACAGCAAAAATCACTCAAGCTGCTTGAGAAATTCAAGAGAAAGAAGAAAATAGAGTGAAGAAAGAAAAAAAAAAAACAGCTTTCTCAAACTTGAAGCAATTGAACATCCTCCTTTTTCTTCTTTGAACAGCAGATAATAATGTTCTTATATGCAGAGGTAAGGCTGTGTACATCTGTCCCTCCTCAGAGCCTCATGCACTGGGCTGCCCTAGTCTTTTTGCATCTGTCTTTGCATATGATTAAAGGAAATTTGATGCTGTTCCATAGATCTGGAAAACCCATACTCTTCCTTGATGTATTTGGATGTATATTCAATTGAATCTTAAAGTCACACATTGTCTTATTAATTATCCTCTATTTTCCTTTCTCCTTTATTCTTTTTTTTTTTGAGAATTTCAGCAAGATTTGGCAAAATTTCCTTGAGATCTTCCCATTTTTCTATATGGTAATATGAAATTTCCCAAGAATCTTTTTTTCCTAATATCCTCAATATTTTGTTGATATATCAGCGATATTTCAAATGTCATTGATAGACTATACATTTAAGGTTTAATGCTTTAGAATATTATTAGAATATTTCCGATTTTTCATTAAAATCATCATAGATTTTTAATAATATTTTCCTAAAAGAACAAATGGGGATTTTGTGATTGGATGATTGGTTTACTGTTTTGATATGATTCACTTACAAAGGCACTATACTTCAAAAGAAAAAGAAAAAAGGCACACAACTACACAAGAAGATTTTCAATCTAATCAAGACATATAATAACAAAAAAGGCAAAAGCCAAGATATTGAATAAATGACTGTGATGAAGAGAAAATGGCTAAAAGACAAAGGATACATAGAAAAAGATTAAGGGGCCATTTGGCAAGTCTTTTTGGGAAGATCTTCTGGTAGCTCTGATAGTCAAAAGACGCATTGAGCTTTTGCATTAAGATTTAAGCAGCCTGAACCCTGTTTGGTTAAGGTGACTTTCCACACGTCTTTCCATGCAAAGACGTATAGAAAAAAAACCGCAAAAGCTCCATTTGGAGCTTCCCGAAAGTCGCCCATCTTTGGGCTTCTCACGTCTTTTCGGCACGTCGGCTTTTGGCGGCTAGATCTACCACGAACCAAATGGGAATAGACCGAATCGTGGTCTGCCGAGCTTGTAAATAGCCAACAGACTGCGCAGAAAGACGCACCAAATGGGGCCTAAGTCTCTTAATCTTCTCTTGTTGATCCATATAGATGTTTGCTATAGTTTTTTGAGCCTTAAATGTGCAATTATACTTATTCTAACAATTCCTTGAAGGTTTATTAATTAAATATCTTGATTTTATAGATTTTTTAAATATCTTGGCAAAGTTAGCAAAATATCCTCGAAATTTCCCCATCTCCGCATGGCAAAATGTCCATTAATATCAAAAGTGCAAAACATGATCAGAGCAATTGAGGAATGATATAGGGTTTCCTAATAACTTCATTTTTTGATTCTCATGTCTCACATGTCTGCAGATTGCAGTGTAAAGGGATAAAGCTTGTAAAGAGATTATAAGGTATAAAGATAATGATATTTTGATAGAGGTAAGGGATTTATTGTTCAAGTGCTAGGATAAATGTAGTCAGTATGCAGTATGTGTGTTGATAGAAAGAAATGATAAAGATGTCTATATTAAATTAAAAAATTCCACAGCAAACAAACAAAGATAAGACATTAATATTATGATTTTTATTTCTTTTACTGTGCATTTTCCCTTGTTTGTTCTTCAAGAACCATAAGGCAATAAATCAAATTTATATTAAGTAAATCAAATGTTGAAACTCACATTCAAAGAGCTTTTAATGTATGAAGGTTAGAAAAATCAGAATATACCTCTCATCCTTCTGCTTCATCATTTTCTCAGTCGCACTTGCAATCAATTTAGAGATCCACCTATTCACTACAATACGAATTTCAACCTTTAGAGAAAATATTTCAGGTTATGATAATATGCCACAATATGTTGGAAAGAGTCTAACACTATAAAGTTATCATTTCCCACATTACAGAAGAAAAACGGCCTTTTGAGAAGAAAGGACTGTTTAGAAAGTTGCAAAAATTCAAAAGAAAGTAGCAGAAATCAGAGTTCAAGAGGAGAGAAGAAGAAGAAGAAGGTGTCGGCAACTTGAGTTCAGAGAGAGATTTTCGAACATAATCTCTTCTCTTACTCCCTTAATTCTATTTCATTAAATTAAACTTTAGTAATTTACAGAGAAGCCCCTAGTTGAGCAGAAAATTAAAAAGACAGCATAAGAAAGAATAAAGCCCAGATTAAGGCCCATTACAGAAAAGAACATAAAAGATAAAAAAGGATAAACAGCCTATGGGCCATTTGGCCCATCTTCTCTACACTCGCCCTCAAGCTGAGCATAGATGTCAATCATGCCAAGCTTTCCAGTATCATGCTGAAGTTTAGCCTTGGGAATGCCCTTGGTGAGGAAATCAGCTAGCTGTCCTTCAGAGGTGATGAAAGGTAGACACACTTCTCCAAGAAGCCGCTCTTTCTTGAATGAAGTGTTTGTCAACTTCAATATGCTTAGTTCTGTCATGTTGCACTGGGTTGTGAGCAATGTTGATGGCGGCCTGATTATCACAGTATAGCATCATTTGCTTATCATGCTCAATACCCAGTTCCTCCATCAAGGATTTAAGCCACAATAGTTCAGAAACTCCATGAGCCATGGCTCTGTATTCTGCTTCGGTTGAAGATCGAGCAACAACTAATTGTTTGCCAAGCTTTCCAGTATCATGCTGAAGTTTAGCCTTGGGAATGCCCTTGGTGAGGAAATCAGCTAACTGTCCTTCAGAGATGATGAAAGGTAGAAACACTTCTCCAAGAAGCCACTCTTTCTCGAATGAAGTGTCTGTCAACTTCAATATGCTTAGTTCTGTCACGTTGCACTGGGTTGTGAGCAATGTTGATGGTAGCCTGATTATCATAGTATAACATCATTGGCTTATCATGCTCAATACCAAGTTCCTCCATCAAGGATCTAAGCCACAATAGTTCAAAAACTCCATGAGCCATGACTTTGTATTCTTCTTTAGTTGAAGATCGAGCAACAACTAATTGTTTTTTGCTTCTCCAAGAGACAATATTACCTACCACCAAGCTACAGTACCCAGAGGTAGATCTTCTGTCATCAATGTTTCCGGCCCAGTCAGCATCTGTGTAGGCTTCAAGTTTCATATGGCCATGCTTAGCAAATAG